TCTTTCTTTTTTACTACTTTTTACTAAAAGTAGTAAAACTTATAATTATTTTACTTATTACACTTTATCTATGCCTTCTATTTATAAGGAGGGGCTGTCTAATAAGTGTAATAGTTTGTAGTTTTGCAGGCTAAGGCTGTTTCTTACTATAGGCAACTATTATAGTTCTTTTTTTATGTAAGCTACTATCTTACTTAATGTTTATTATTCTAGTGTCTAACACAGTATTGTTATGTACACTAGTACTAGGGGTATAGACACTTATTAGGTTTATGTAATGTGTTAAGGGGACTTTCCTAGGTCTACTAAAGGTATTCCTTTGTTTGTACTAGCTGTATAAGGTGTTTTTTCTACTAGCAACTGTTAGTGCTATAAGTGCTGCTTCTGCAAAGAATATATTATCTATAGTTTTATTATATTACAAGAGCTTTTTTAAAGATTGCTAGGCTTAAAAGCAGTGTCTTTAGTTTTTTAGGCGCTAGTTATAGTACTTTAAACCTAGTAGGTTTACCTAGCTATTCTAGCTTTTAATCTTTAATCTTAGTAAAAAATTACTATTACTTTTCTTTATTTATAATGTTATATTTAACTTTAGCTATTCTTTATATAATGTTAAATGTTAAGTAGTTGTTACTAATGTTTATTTAGTAAAGTAAGACTATATAATTGCTTAGGTAGTTATGTTATAACCTACACTTTTAGCACTTGCATTTCTAAAACTGTTAGAAAAGCTCTCTTACTAAAGTACTAAGGGTTTAGTCTTAGAAAGGGAATTACTTTTCTTTTTTTTAAACATTTATAATGTATCCTTAGATTTAAGTCTTTTTTTTATATTTTTTAAAAATTATAAGGTCTTGCAACACTATGTTAAAGCTACTAAAATTTTAAATAACTACTTTTTAATACTGTTTAGGGCAGTTGTTTAAAGAGTAGTTTCTTTTATATTACTAGTAGAGTTTGTTGTCTAGTCTTTTTTATATTTTTTTATCTATAAGGCTATATTTAGCAGTAATAGCTTTTATTATTATAGTAGTATTTTTATTCTCCCCCTTTTAAAAGTTTAGGTAATTTTAGTAGAAATGTCCTACTTTTTTATAGTTTAGGCAGGCCTTGTCTTCTAGCTACTTTTATTATTCTTTTATTAAAAGCAGCTTATTATGTCCTAGAACTTAGCTCTTCTTAAAAGAAGGGCTTTATATATGCTTTATATAACTAAGGTCTATTAGTTTTTTATTATATTATAAAAGCTTTTTTTTCTTAGAAATAAACTCTAGTTTTTAGAAAGTTTCTTTTTATTTCTTTTTTTTTTTACACTTCTTATAGCAGTTGTTATAAGTTGTTACTTACATAATAAAATTTTTAAAAGTAGTTAGTTTTTTACTATGCATAAATTTATCTTTTACTATTTTACTTAATTTATTATAGAACATGCAGTAGAGAGCCTTCTAGTCTGTCTATCTATAGATAGCTAGCTGTTCTCTAAAGCATGCTGCATAGTTCTAGACTAGGCTAGTCCCTTATTTTATAGTATCTAGTTTATTAGCTGTAATCTTTTTTTTATTAAAAGTTTTATAAATAGCTGTTAAAGCTTTTTTAAAGTTTTTAATATTACTAAATATTTCTTTTATTTTAGAGGTAAGTGCTTTACTATTTACTTTAAAGTTTATTTAGTTATCTGCATAGGGTTAAAACTAAATTATAAAGGGGCCTTCTAGGTGTAGTCCTATCTAGGATATTATTTCTATGTTAGTCTAAAATGCTTTTTTATTATATTACATATAAAGATAGCATTTTATAAAGAATAGTTAAAGGTCCTTTAGTAATTCTTTAAAAGGCTTTAAAAGGGCTAGTCTTAAAGCTTTCTTAGCTATAATGCTTATTTTTTTAGATAAGATGTTTTAGACTTTTACTAACTCTACTTATAATTTATGTATTTAATAGGCTTAGTTAGTTGCTTCCTAAAGGCTTAAAGGTTTAAAAAAGTTTTATAATTTTACTACTTTTTAGTAAAGGTTAGTAATTTTTTTCTTAAGTTTTAGTAGTTTACCTACCTTATTACTAATCTGCTAGAGTTTTTTAATGTTGTCCTAGATTAAATTAATCTATTTTACTAGAACAGCTTTACTTTAGGTAGAAACTTTTATAGATCTTAATAGCGCAGTGTAGGCTATGTTAGAATCTAAATTATATTAAAAAGTTACTATACTTTTTAAAAGAGTAGTGTTTAATGTTATAATTCTTACTTTATAAAGCACTTAGGTCTTCTAGTGTTTCTAAGAGAAAAGTAGGACAGATAGTAGGGGCTAATCTAGTAAGGTGTACAGTCCTACGTACAGGCTATTAGGCTAATAGAGGCTTATATAGAATAACTAGATTATAGTTTACCCTATGTGCAGCAGTAGGGAGGCTAGGGTTAAACAGTCCTTTTAGACAGGGTTAGAGGTATATATAGTGTAAGATATATAAATAGTATTATAGCTCTTTAAAAAGCTAAATGCTACTTAGTTTATGTAAAGAATAAACTAAACATTAAACACGCCTTTTAAAGGTTATTTAATGTAGAAACTATATACATGTGCTAGGAACGCTAAGAGGAGTTAGTAGGAGTTTATAGAAGCCTGCTAAGAGGGGCTCCTATAAGCTCCCTTAGGCTCCCTAAACTCGCGGCCTGTTCTCCTATTAGACAGTGCATTCTTCCATAATCTTAGGTAGCTGCGCTGTCTCCGCGTCCTCTGATTAGTTTGTAAGCGAGCCCTGCCCCAAACCAGCTAGATTGTGGAGCACCGCTAGTGGGGTTACGCTAGTCCAACCGTAGACCGTAACAGAGCTTTAAGATTTTTACATATAACTTAAGTTACTTTATTCTTAATAACACTACTAATAATAACTCTGCAATTAACGCCTTAGCTATTAAATATAACTTTAACCTTTACTATTAACAACTATATTACACCTGCTATATAATTAACCTTACTACTTAATAAATTATATTTAGTAAAAATTATAAGGTGTTTAAAAACACAGAGAAGCATTTTAAAAAGAAGGAGGTGTTTCTTAACAAGTAGTGTAAGGCTAGCCCTTTAGGCGTTCTAATTAATGTTATCACCTCTATCTATACACTACAAGCCTACTAGCTTTTTAAACAGTGCTAGATAACCTACAACACTTAATTAAAGCTAGATTGTAAGGTTAAAACGCTAGAGATTATTAAACTAGTAAAAATAAAGTAAAACTTTTATTATAACTGTTTTACACATACACTTAAGCTTTATATGCTTTTTAATAAGTATATTAACTATAAGCTTGTTAAATATTATTGCTAGAGCCTTTATTAATGCTTCTAACTTAGTAATCTTAAGAAGCGCTAGTTTATTAAAGAAGATAGCCTTTTTACTAAAGATTAGGTAATAATTACAGAGTACTAAAAAATTCTATAGCCTTTTAAAAAGGCTACTACCTGTATAGAAGGCAGAGGCGTAGCTAGCATGTTAGGCGCTATCTAGGAGGTGCTCTTTACGCTTAATTAGCTTACAACTACTCTTAATAAGATGCTCTTTTAGTATAATAATATTAACTTTAATAATGTTAACACTTTAAAAGACTACATTTAAGCTACTTATAACATAGCTTATATTAAGATTATTAATTATATGCGTAAGTTAAAGAACGCCCTAGCTTATTACACTGCCTACTATCTCTACCTATATATAAAAAGTTACATAGATAAAGTGTAAGCAGTGCCTTTTAATTATAATAAGGAGCTTTATAAAGGACCTTATGTATATAAAGGCTAGCTAGACAACTGCCACCTTAGCTTTTAACACTTATAAGTAGAGTTTAAAGACGCTGCCTCTCCTATTAGTACTCTAAAGCCTCTGCTAAAGAAGGCACGTATAGGGCTAGCTAGGAGCTAGTTAGATTTTATAAGAGCTGCCTTATAAAGTAACAACGCCTGCCTAACTTATTGCTATAATAAGTTTAAGCGCTAAATAATTAAGTTACTTATACTAAAAAAGTCCCTGTTTACACGCAACCTAATTCTATACTAAATAAAAAAGGCTAACAAGTACTCTATCTTATTGCGCTTTGCTTTTATAATCCTTAGCATCCCTATAGCGGCTACTAATTATAAGAGGACCTTCTCTAAGCTAGGTAATTTGCTAGAGACAAGGCGTCTCTGCATAAAGGCAGACCTCCTCTCTGCCCTACAAAGCCTACGTAGTTAGAAGCGCCTTAGCTTAAAGCCTACAAAGTTAGCAAAAAGTCCACGTAGTAACGCTATCTCTTCTAAAGACCTAGAGACTATCTATAAGATATACAGCAGTTAATTTACTATGTAATCTATTAATTAAGTTAATTAAGTTAATTAAGTTAATTAAGTTAAGCCTTATTTATGCTATTAAGTTAATTAAGTTAATTAAAACGTGCTAGATCTGTTAATTAATTAAGCAATTCACCCTAACTTAATTAACTTGATTGTTGCCAACTCTGGTTGGAAGGGTGAGCGTTTGAAGGGACCGATTTCACAATGCTGCGAGGTTTGGATGATGTGATATTGACAAACCGTGTGCATTGTGGGGTCTGAAACTCCTGTTAAGGGATATGTTGAGTGCGATAAAGGGCCAGGGTGTATGGGCTTGGGTTGACGCAGGGTGGCTGCAGAGGGGGTGATCCCTCATCCTTGGTAGTGCTCACTCTGATACTTGACTATGAATTTAAGAACTAATAAGTGTACGTTCCAATGTGCTACTCCCTCTAGCACGCCATTTGCTGCGATGAGCTGGCGCTGGTGCATCGAACTGAGGAAGGTGGCTGCGAATGTCGCTAGGATAAGTGGGAAGGTTGCATATGAAGTGGCTACCCATTAAGTATAGTTAAAGCTTGATGAAACAATATAGTTGAGGTAGAGAAATCAATCGTTATATTAAATTATCGCTGATAAGCACACAAGCTAAGCTGTTCGATGCACATGCCAACCTCACCGACATTTCGTGACAGTTCTTCAGCTAGCTCTCGCCTCCTCAATGTCTCTCAAAAGAGCCACTTCCCCTCATAAACATGTACTTTAACGAAACCTCGATATCCATGCGTCCGGACTAGAGTACACTTCCAGCTCAAATGTCGTGGAAGTGTTGCTGTTAACTGAGTCCGTTCCTTCACAGCCATCTCCATCGGAAACAGCCGTACTTCCAGTGAGGCCGCTCGATATGGGTGTAGCCCGTTCAATCGTCTGAGGGATACCAGGTACTCCATCCAATTCGTCCTGCGATTGCAAGCTCCGTACTAGCTTTAAAAGCTCCTGGATCGCACCGTGATGCTCCACTGAAGCAGACGATGCCGCTTTGACGAGTCCGCTGTTGGAATGTTAGCGTACGTAGCACTCGAGGTTCATCTGAGCATATAGTCTTACAGTGTCCTCAGCTGCAAGAACATCAGAATATCAGTTTTGCTATGCTCTAGCCTCACCCTCAAGTCTCTTAAATTGTTCCTTTCCGATGAGACAAAGAACGGATACTTCATCTTGTCAAATACACCTCCGGTCAAGTACCCCTCCACTGCATCTAACCTTCGGCTCAACTCCTTCATCACGTTTGTGCACGACCCAAGCGCAATTTCAATATCCGTGGTTCGCGATGCATTTCTTGACCACAAGATCGGTCGTGTTGGGTTGGCGCGCGCTTCTTCTTTTGAGAGTGCATCGAGCCGCTCGATAACCCACGTCAACGATTCGATTTCATCCCGGATTTCGGTGAGCTCGGCAGGCGCATCTTTGGTGTCATCGACAATTTGTTTCGCCTTCTTTCCGACTTTCGCGGCGAGTCCTAGGACTGTGATGAGGGACGCTGAGAAAGATAGAGGGTCCATTCTAGAAAGAAAATAACTAAACAAAATTTTAAATGGAAGCCTCATATGCGGCTTTTTCGATATTTGTACAGGCGAGGCTGCGGTGCGCCTCACCACTTGTGGTGGCGAAGCTCAGCTGGGTTGAACACGAGTGGCTTAGCAGCCTCGTGAATGGGCGACTACAAGTACACTTTGCATGGCACCTACCCATTTCAACCACTCTCTTGAGGTATTTCTCTTTTCGTTTCCCGCTGGTGCAAAATGACCGCTCGTTGGACCCCTGTCCATCGCGTCAAGGACGATGCAATTTATCTTGACGACTTTGAACTTTCTTTTCATCGCACACTACGTGTACCGGATAACCATGACTCCTCAAAACTGCCTCCTTCGCTTGGTCGATTCCCGCTTTGCAATGCAGTAGACTATGCAAAGAATCTGCCAGAGGAGATGGCGAAAAAGGGAGGTGTCTTTCTACCCATGTATCGTAAGCAACCTCCAATCTTCCAACAATCCAAGACACCAATTCCAACCGAGTATAGAACGAGAAGCTATGTGGATTAAATTCGTTTCCAAAAAGCCCTATGCTGTGCAACTCTTTGTCGGTGGCATAAATGCTGTCTCTGGAATCCCCCTTGTCTCTCTCTCGGGTGATCATTCCCCATCTCTGCCAAGTTCTTCAATTGGAGATCAGGATTACATGGTTATCCCCGAGCAAAACTGGATAGACGGGATTGCCACTGCCCCAGGTGTTGTGCGTCAGTTCGTCGCGATGCCGTCTGGCAGCGGTTACTCTGTTGAAGTACAGGCCACCGGGAAGGAGGAATTTGCCGGAATGTTGTTCTCGGTAACACCAAGGATGGAGCCGAGCGTGAGCGGTGGATATCACCGAAGAGTGAGAGATATTAAGTTAAAAGTGACGGCGCTGGGTGGGAGGACGTTTACGATCCCAGCGTCTCTGAAGGATACTGTGGATGATGTCAAGTTCACCATTCAGGAGAAAGAGGGGATTCGTCCGGCTCAGTGTGAACTTAAACTGTTTGGCCGCCCACTCGAGGGTAAGTCTCTCCTTCTCGTCTTGCCTCTAATGGTGGAAATTAACAGGTGTGTTAAATTAGGATATCGAACACTAGAAAGCTACAACATTGAAGCAGTAAGCTCCTTCCCGATCCCAACTATCGTTGAAATAGAGGTTCTAATGGGCAAAGGACACAACTCTCTATCTCACCCTCAAGCTCCGTGGAGGTATGAAAATCTACATCAAAACGCTAACCGGCAAAACTATCGAAATCCATTGCGAGTCATCTGACACCACCGACAACATCAAGTCCAAAATCCAGGATAAAGAAGGGATTCCTCCGGATCAGCAACGCCTCATATTTGTTGGAAAACAATTAGAAGGTACCACCTCAACTCACTCCAACCCCAGCATGATGATATCATGAGCGCAGTGCTGATGGAGCTGTTCCAGATGGTAGAACGGTGAGCGACTATAACATCCAACATGAATCAACGGTACACCTCGTCCTGCGGCTCCGCGGCGGCGGCGAGGCTCCCAAAGACTTATTCGAAAACCATGAAATGGGCATTGCAGCTGGCGGCCGCATCGACCAGGTCATCGAAGCCGACTCCCAAATCCATCAGTGGGACAGTTCCCAAACAAAATGGTTCAATGTCCAAATCCTTAACTCCTCTAAATTCAGGGAAGTAACGGGATTGCGTGCTCCGGAAACGCCTGCAAATGCGCGACTGTACGCAGAACATGGGTATCCTTTTTATGAGCTTTGGGGGGAAGAGGATAAGAAAGCTGTTGCCGGAGATTTTAAAGGCATAAAATCCATAGGCCAGATTGACCGCGTAGTTGAGGCCCCATTGAAGCTCAAAAACATCATCAAAATTGGGCGCAAGATCTGGGAATCCAAAGCCAGCCCATCTGGGGCTGAGAGGAAAGGAGGGCTGAGGGGATTGTTCACAAGACGTGGAAGGAGTGCCTCAGCGTCACCAGCACCGAGCTCTTCTCCGAATTCTCCGGTCTTGACCCCAGAGTCTGAGGTTTCCTTTTTTCAAGATAGTAGGGGCTTGCCCGAGTTTAAGAGTTTGGCGGAGTTTGAAAGATATTTGGCCTAAAGGATAAGGCCACCGGGAGAGGCTTGGGGGGCTTGTTTCTTTTGATACCCCGCATTCTGTATTTATGTAACTGACTCTCTCATGGTTTCCGGGTTCGGAATAGTAACGATTTATTGCACGGTAGTTCAACAGGTCGCGTTGTCTGGTAGCGGCATCCGGGGGGTCTTCTGGTTAGATAAAGTGTGACGGCTTAGGTGAGTATACTGAGCAGCTACGATGGCTGTACAGAGTTATTTCCTTTTGTAGGGAAGCAGGTGCCGCCGCACAGGCTCGGAAGGCCGTATACAAAAAGACACTCGATAGCATTTTCAGAAGAATCAATACAATTCTCCAAATAACTTCCCTGTACGCAACACAGCATAAAGGATGACTAATTAAGCACTATACCGCGGACATATTATTGCAATACCCAAGCTCGTGGACTTACTTTCCATAAGCGCCGCTATAATACCGAAATCACCGGGAGTAAGATGTGTTCATTTAGTAGCTCCAAGCCCTAGTCACTCAGCGCTGTTGCCTCTCTCAATGCTCCTCCACCCCCTAACCTATTGTCCGGTTTGGAGATACATTCTCAGACAAGGATTTCGCTGCACGTATTCCGCAACATGAATTCCAAACTCTGAATTTACGGTGACGCAACTCCACCACTGAATCATCGGGATGATGGCACTTGCTTTCAGCACCAATTTTGAATAGGACACTATTTCAGCCAGAAGTCAGGCGAAGTGAATAAACCGAAGTCTGTACTCGCAAAAAGAGGCTCAAGCACAACCTCTCCAGTAGTCTCTTCTCGTCAAGGGCCTGCATCTAAGATACGAGAAAACAAGTGGAACTGTACATTGAAACTCAGCCGATACTCCACTACCAAAGCTATCGTAATACCAACCATAGGCAGTGTCTTGGGCGCAGACTACACAAGTATCCATAGGGAGCATAGCCGATATACACCAAGCCCACGGTAAGAGGAGCGTACTTGATTTTGGCCAGCATTTGACCAATACTCCGCACATAAGGGACCGTATTCCGGAACCGTTCGGCTCGAGAGTCTTCTTCTTTAGCTATTCGGCATCAGCCGACTTTAACATGTTAATGCGGTAAGAAGGATGAACAAGAGGACTGGAATGTTTTCGCTGTAGCTTCCAAACTAAAAGCGAATACTATAAGCACAGAAGCTGATTCAGACCGCCTAGATCTTGTTTTGAACCGCCTGTCAAGGCCAGGTGAATAGTGAGATGTTACACAAGCTATGGGGTATTCCAAATACGGTCTTGACTGAAAGAGACTACGAGCCTCGGCCCAACCTTTTCAACTTCCCGTTACATCGACTCCAACCTACTCAACCAGAACTATAGCCTTGGATACAACAGAGAGTGCATTAGCGATAGTATTCCTGGCCGGGTCTGCTAGGAATCGCTTGTTCATTATTAGTGCTTCCGTTACACTCGAACCTTGGTCAAAAGGAGGGGAAAAGAACTGGGCAACCGCAGGATAGAGGCACAACTGGGCATGCTTCGTCTTGCATTGCGACGCCAATAGTGGTGTACCATCAACGCCTTCGGCTTCCATGTATCCTCTGTCGAATGGCATCCCGGGTGGGAAGAAAAGGATGTGATAGTCTAGGGGGCTGACGAGGAGCTGCATTTTGAGTTTGATCGCGCGGCTGCATAGATATCTGAGGTCGCTGAAACTCAGGACATCAAATCCAGGAGCTTTTGTTGACTGGAGAGCCTCTTCGATCTTCCTTGCTACTTTGCTGGCCTTCTCAGGGATTGCGTGCTTCTGGATATGCTCTTCACCGATGAACAACCTCACAGCAAGCGAGTCTAATCGCCTAACTTCTGGAAGACCATCTGTATGCTGTGAGCTTCTATAGCTTTGATCCTAGTGAGCACGAGCCTACCAGCATTTCCGATGATTCGATAAAGATGGATAAGCATCTCGGAGTGCTGACCTTCCAGGATCAATTCACCATCGGCGAATATGAAGGAGCATAGTAGGCGTGCTACAAGGGCGATCCCAACGCACACTACTCTGTCCAGGGTGAGACTGCAGCCGGTAGTAAGGTCAAGGGCGGACATGTCACTAAAGGCGCATCTAAGCAGGCAGTTAGTTTTCTGTCCAGTTTATGTTATCAAAAAGCTTACCTTAACCTCCAGAAAGCTAGTTAAGCGCCTCCCTTATACACAGTTGTGTTTGAATGAAGATTAGAATAATAGACTTAGATAACAGCACAAAGTCTAACAATTTAGAACATTAGAAGTATTAGAAACACTAACAGTTTAATAGGTTTTAAGATAGATTTAAGGATAACAAATTATAGAAGATGTGTTTTAAAAAGAAATTAAGTAGTAATTATCCTAACACTAACAGAACGCTATTTGCTCTAAACTAAACTTACAGTTAGTAAACACTATATTTAGACTGCTTCTAGTCTCTAAGAAATACTTTAAGACTTAAAGAGCTGTTATTAAACTTAAGCTTTAGGATCTAAAAGTGCTTTTTATCTTCTAAGATTTAAGATTTTGTTAATGTAAAAGACGCTAGCTTAAGATGTCTTAGTGCACTATTAACGTCTCTCTAGAATAAGTAAGTTAAACTAAGTTTATCTCTATTATACAGTAGCTGCTTAATATCTACTAGTATTAACTCTAGGCAGTTTAGGATATTGCTAATATTTAGAATAATACTACTATTAAATAGGATCTTATATGTGCTTTTAACATGCTTACAGGGCTTAAGACAGCTAAAAAAAAATCTTTTATATAAGTTACATTACTTAAAATGTTACTAGAGATAAAAGCTACATATAATAGCTTTAAGTTATTCTTATTACCTAGATGTAAAGCATTAAGTTATGTTTCTATTAAAAATAGTGTTATAAAAAAGTTACACATGATCTTCTTAATCTACTAACGTACTTCATGGGCGAGTTGCTCACACACCTAAGTCGCTTACTTTTGCCAAGACCCTACTAAACTACTCTTCCTACACTAATGCATTCCCCACAACACTACTTAGACGCGCTAAAAGAATGTTAGATACAGCTTACGCTTTAAGCTTTTAAATAAGACATAAAACTTTTAAAGAAATGTGCTGTAGCTATATATAGAGTTTTATAAAAGATAATAAATAACTATAGCACTAGACAACTTTTACAAGCTAATTCTACAGCTAAATTATAAAGGCTAGGTAATAAAAAGGAGCAGGTAATTGTTAAGACTATACTTAAGCTATATGCGTAAGGAATTTCCTCTTAGATAGCATTTATAGCTAATATAGCTAATTCTTTGCGCGCTAAGTGTAATCTAGGCTATGTTTACATAAACTAGCCTAGTATATTTATAAAGCGTTATTTAGAGCTTAAAGTAACATTTAAGCGTAAGTATAACTATAAGAGAGCCCTCTATAAGAGTCTTAGAGTAATTTAGGGCAGGTTTAGCCTTATAAAGAATATTAAAGCTAAGTATAGCATCTAGGATAATAACACGTACAACTTTAGCAAGATAAAGTTTATAATTAGCTAGATATCTCTTAACTATACTTACACTTAAAACTTTACTTTAAGCTCTAAATAACGCTTTATAAACGTACTAGGCTAGTTTATGTAAACATAGCCTAGATTACACTTAGCGCGCAAAGAATTAGCTATATTAGCTATAAATGCTATCTAAGGGGAAATTCCTTGCGCATATAGCTTAAGTATAGTTTTAATAATCACCTGCTCCTTTTTATTACCTAGCCTTTATAATTTAGCTGTAGAATTAGCTTATAAAGGTTATCTAGTGCTGTAGTTATTTATTGTCTTTTATAAAACTCTGCACATAGCTACAGCACATTTTTTTAAGAGTTTTATGTCTTATTTAAAAGCTTAGAGCGTAAGCTGTATCTAACATTCTTTTAGCGCGTCTAAGTAGTGTTGTAGGGAATGCATTAGTGTAGAAAGGGTAGTTTAGTAGGGTCTTAGCAAAAGTAAGCAACTTAGGTGTGTGAGCAACTCGCCTATGAAGTACGTTAGTAATTATAGAAGATGCTGTTCTATAATATTATATAGCGTCTTAGTTTAATAACTAGGTTACATTAAACTTATTGTCCCCTTTAGTAAATTATGTATTCTTAGTATCTAGCTTAAAGGCTATACAAGCGTTTTCTAGCATTATCCTAGACACAATTTAATAATAGGTTTTATTTAAAAATAACATTAAAAATATAGAAAAAGGGCAGGGCCTAATTTTAAAACTTAAAGATGTTCTATTTTTAGTCTCTTCTTAAGGTCTAGAAATAGGATTAAGAGCGCCTTCTTTATTTAGCGCGCTAGAAGGGAAACTAGATTAAAGAATTGCTACATAGAAGTAAAAAAAGTTAATTTCTACCTACATAAACTTAACAGCAATAAATTATGTAAGACAATGCTACTTGCAAAGAAGAAGTATAGAAAGAGTGTATTAGAGAAGAAATAGCATGTCTAATAACAGAAATATATAACATTAGCCTTAAACTAGAGGGGTCTAATTTTAGAACTACAAGACTTTAAACTAAATTGTTATTATAGACGCAGCCTAGGTCCTAGAATTAGTACCTTCCCTCCTCTAGCCTACACTATAGAGAGCTATTTAAGGTGGTAGGCCTCCTAACATACACAACCCTAGGCTTAATGTAACGGCGCAGGCAAGACAATGGGTCCGAATGCGGAGGGAATCCACTTAGAGGCATATGGGAGTGCGTGGGGACTCTGAACCTAGGAATGCCATTAACACCTTGTTACAATCCTTACTCCGGCGAAATGGTATTTTCGGGAGTACGTCGGCCTATAGGGGTATGTTAGCGAAAGGGGAAGGACTTAGTTGGATCGGGTGTACAGTCCGTCGAGCAGAGTACAGGATGGTACGGGGTGGAGAAGGCAGGTTGTGGTTTGTCCTGGCAGCCGTATGGGGGGCTGGCAAACCTGATCTGTAAGGATAGGAGTGGAGGTATATATAGTGCAAGATATACAAGGCAACACTGTTCTCTTTGTAAAAGTTTAAGTGTCTCTTAGTTTATTAAGCAGTAAAGACTTAAATAATAAACTTAATAGTAATCACAACCTTCTAACTATAGTTGTGATTAGGGCTATATACATAGGTTTGCATGCTTTGCATGCCTGCATGCTAGTTCTAAAGCTACCTGCATAGCCTGCAAGCCTGCAAGCCTATATGTCTTATTAGATAATGCACTTAGCAAGGCCTTTCTCTAAAAGCTAGAGCTATTCCTTATCTGTCCTGTCACGTGACTCGCTTAGCGCAGGGCTAAGCGTCTTCTATCTAACGTTGTTTAGGCTGTGTGGGACAGCTAGTTAGTTTATTACAGTCTAACTATTAGCTGTAACACGCAGGCTTCCCTTTTAGTTAGCGTCCTTACTGTTACGTTCTTTCTATTATAAGTGTTAGGTTTTCTTTTTAGCTAGTGCGTTCCCCTTTCTAAAAGCTAGTCTTATGTTAATTTTTTTTAACTATGCCTTACTAGGCTTTTTATTTGTCTGCTGTTGTTTGTTGCCTTTGTACTATAGCCTATCTTAATCCTCTTTATTATACAAAGATGTGTCTGTGTAGTGCTTGTTGTTTAAGCAGGTCCTCTTACATAATGTTCTTATTATTAAATAAGTGTGTTAAGTGTGTGCAAAAGAGCAGCTATTATAACGCCTTTATGTTAGATGCAGCTTAGGATTAGTTAAAGTGTAAGCGCAAGAGGTTATTAGCAGAGGCAGAGGTGGCCTAAAAGGACAGAATGCGTAAAAAGGAGGAATTAGTAAAATGTTTTTAATTAATTATTTCTTATAAAAAGAGAATTTAAAAGTAGTTAAAGATATTAGAGGATTAAAGAGTAAAGTATTTAAAAAGAGACCTTTTATTACTAGATAAGCTTAAAGCGCTTAAAGCAGAAGCAGCAGGTCTTCTTTCTCCTTAGCCTATGTTAAAGGGTTGCAGTCTTCCTACATCGCAGCTAGCTAATGCTGCTGCAGTTTTAACTAATAATAGTGTTTTCTAGTCTAGAGAGCTTTCTCTAGAGTAGTTTTATTTAGAAAGGACTCTAGGTATTTGCAAAAGGCCTAAGGAGCGTTTAACAGGCTTTTAATAAGTTTTTATGTGTTTTTACTAGTAAGCTATTCTTTTTATTTTACTAAGTATTTATTTCTTTTATAGTCTAAGATTCTTTCTACTTTATATTCTTTTTCTTTTTCTTTCTATCTAGTAGTTATAAGTAGAATAACCTTAAGCACAAGTTTAAGTTTAGAGACATAGAACTAGAGGTGTATTTACATGTCTTTTAAAAGTTTAAGTTTATAAATACTAAGGTGTGTTTATATTACTTAGTATAGTCTTATGCGTTTTTCTGCTAACTTCCTAAAAAGTTATAGTGTCTTAAGATCCTTTATGTCTAGATATACATAATTATTAAAGTGTATTTTTAGTGCTAGTTTCTATTTTTTATCTACTGTTTTTCTTATATTTTCTTAAGCTAATTAGTTTTCTCTAGTAAGTTTTTAGTGTAATTCTAGAAGTCTAGTTGTGTAATCTATTACTTCTAAAGAGTTAGTTAGTTGTAAGCTGTAGAGCTTATATTATAGAGGGTATCTAAAATTAGCTTTATATAGGGTTTCTTTAGTAGTAGCTAATTCTATAGTATTAATAATAAATTATGCTATTAGTAACTATCCTGCCTAATCTATCTATTTATAAAAGATGTATTTATACAAAAACTTTTTTACTTTTATATTTACTCTTTCTATTTATCTATTTATTTATAGGTAATAAGCAGTAGAGAGTTTATAGTTAATTTTAAAGTGCTTAACTAAGGCTATTTAAAACTTACTAGTAAATAATTTATTATAGTTAAAAATAATAATTTGAGAGTAGCTATAAGTAGTAAAGACATTCTTTTTTAGTTTAAACATAAATTTTTTTGCTGTTATGCTTTTTTCTAACAGCTATAAGTAGACAAATTTAGTAGTTTTATTAATAACTTATGTAATTATATTGCATAACCTTTTAGTGCTAGGTTCTTATAATAGTAGTAGCCTAGTAATAAAATCTATAGTTATTAT